CTGGTCAGCAGAAAGTCTCTTTTTGCAGATGGTACACACAGTTTTCTGTTTTTGTTTTTGTTTTTTCAAGTAATGTATTACACTGTCACAAATCAATTTCTAATTAGGCTTCACACAATTATGCTCATGTCCTACAGTCTTCTGTCAAACTCGACTTGCAAAAAATGCTTGAATGCAAAGATTCATGAATATGCCTTTGAAGAAAATGAATGCTGATTGCATTTTAAATATTTAGCATAGGAAATTCAAACATTTTTATTAGAACTGACTGAAATCATTATACAAAGTCTGTAACTTTAAAGTCTTTTGGGGGAGGGTCAAGCATGACAATCGGATTTAACTGTATTCAAAGGGTTTTTTTATTTTCTGAAAAAATATAAAATTTCGTATCTTACACTACAAAAACATGTACACAAACGAAATGCACATAGAGCTTCAAATGGGGAAAAGATACAGAAATGCTAATCCTTTCTTGAATTAATGCTCAGGCAAGAATTTGAGATATCCTGATGCCTAGCATAGAATAAGATACTCTATACAGCTGCTTCTGACCTGCCTGAAACTAAGAGAATTTAATAAACATATTAACAAGTGACTGAGTCTAAATTTTATTCTTAGACTATTATAAATGAAATTTACATACTGTAAAATTATTGAATGTAAAACTATAGCAATCTAAAGATTCACAAATATGTTGACCACTAAAACCTTTACTGTTAATATATCTCGGACTGAATAAACATGATGTATGTTGCCACCTTCAATTTTTTTCATTTACATTTAGAAGAAACAAATGACATTTGATTCTTATTATTATAGATCAACTCTCTCTCTCTCTCTTTTTTAAGAATTGTGTCTTCTCTTAAGCAATAATTTTGTGGTCATTCTGAACAAGAACATTCAATCATTCATGTGTAAAAAGATTTTTTTTCATAAACCAACATGAAAAGAAAAGTTATTATCTTTTGCTCCTTTGATACATTACTATATAATTAACGGCATAATACAGAAAAATATTCCATGTAACCAGCTGTGCTACAGAGTTGAAGCAATGATGACTTATTGTAGTTATTAATTTCATAAAACTAGCATTTTGTTGTTCATTCATCATCACCATCATCATCACCATCACATTGTACCTACTTTTTACTTATTTTGAGTTGAAACATCTGGCAGGACATAAGCAAAGACAGTTTACTATCATACTTAGCTTTTTGTTTTCTCATTTTTAGAAAGAAAAAATGGGAAAAAAAAAGATCTTATTCTATTACGCAACATCATTCATCTAGTAAATTTCTAACATCTGATGCAAATAGCATTTGCCATCCAATGCACCGTTACAAACAAAAATGTCTTCCACAGATAACTATCTCTACTTGTGCTTCTGAACATCCACTTTAAATGGGAGGAAGAATGGTGTTAAAAAAAAAATCTTTGACTTTGACACAGAGATTAAATAGTAGACATGCAAACACATAAGTGTTCAACAGATAATTTTCATTTTAAACTTAAGATGTGAAACTATCTCTTCACCATTGCATACTGGTTAAGACTCTTTACAAACTAAGTGAAGGATGTTCTGTATTGTTTTGGCAACTCCAAAACTAATAATGCTGGCCACATTTAAGTTTGGACAGAATATTGGAATATAGATTTTTACAGTAATCCTACAACTTTAGAACACTGATTTGGTGATTAAAACAGAAGACATAAAAGATCATGCACATTATTTTTTTTAAATGGGAAAATCAGAATCCTCACATTTTTACATACAATTCAGACATTTCAAATGGCCCAGAAGAACACGTGAGCAAGTAGAAAAATTCGGAAACAAATTATGATTGATAAAAGTAGTAACTGAGTGACTTCAACAGGTATCAGTATATTGAAAAAATATTTTTCAAAGTTCAACTCTGAGAGTGACTCATGCTTTAAAGGTATTGCTACTTGATAGCTACAATAACATTATGTATTATTTGACAAATCTATCTTATGTGCTAAAATTATTGAGTCTCTGTTTTATTGTTAGTTGTCTGGTGGGGGTGACAAAATGAACCAAAGGATAAGAAATCACACAATCAAGATTTGTCAAACCTCACCCTGGGTTACTGCCTCACTGCATTTCACAAGAGCTGCCTCTTCTCCCTGTACCACTTCTCACATTTATAGATGAGATTGTCACTTCCCAATTGGTGACATATCCAGTAGTGAATAAATATTTTAGAAGGAAATTCTTTCCTCTTTTTATTTTTATGTATGTATGTATGTATGTATGTATGTATGTATGTATTTTACGTGGGAGAGAGCATATCTTATTTGGAAGTCTCTTTACTTCTTTTAAAATCATACTGACATTCTCAACCAAAATGGGAAAAAAGAATTCTCAACCGAATTGAAATATCAATGAAATCTATATGTCTAACTTTCATCTCAATTTACATTCCAAAATGAACACCAAGATTGCGAAGGAATCTGATCCATCCTAATTTGTAATGTTCTTCTTCGAAAAAGAGGAAACCTACATTGTAGCTTTAAGTTCTAGTCACTTAGATATACTTTGTGCTGACTTCCCAATCATTTTTGAACACACAAAGTTAGAAGACAATTCAGAAAATATCTTTGTTATGTGTAAATAACTGTGACTCGTCCTAACACTTACAATAGTTTATCTTTTAAATCAATATGTCTGTTCCTACTTTGAAGTTTCTCAGTTGTTACTTTATCACTTAAGTTCAGTTGTTTTTACAAAATTCAATAAAGTGCAACGCAGTCTCCAATTATTTTGTAAAAAAGAATGTTTAGTTCATTTTGTTTCTTGAAATGAACAAAGACATCTTTTATAATAGTGATGCCTGCTTACTTCTGATTTTATCAAGACAATGCTAAATCCACCTTTCTTTACTTTCTCTGAAAATTTCACAAAACTAATAAAGTATACTTGAACCATATTTTATAAGAACCCATGGTATGGTATAGACCTAGTAAGTATTTATAGCCCAAACTGGACCAAACTAAATATATTAATATACCATCTGAGAGTTGCTTACAACTTTTTCTTTTTCCTCTTTCTTTCTTTCTTTCTTTCTTTCTTTCTTTCTTTCTTTGTCATGTTCTTTAGCAAGGAGTTACTTTACTGCTTAAGTAAAAGGTGGGCAGGGTAGAAAGAAGTTATTTCTTAAGGGTTTATTCTTGTATGGGCTAACATTCAACTAAAACAAGTGCTTGGAAAAGAGAGAGAACACCATTAATATCATGCAGGAATATTTTCTATAGATTCCATTAACCCAGACTACTCCAATATACTATTGCCCTTGATGATCATAATTAGGCTATACTTTGTTCAAATGCTGTGCTCCTTGAATAATCACGTATCTTTCCATGGTTCTATAAAATGCAATACCATAAAAAATTGTTACTTCATCAAGGAGTCAGTTTTTTTAGAACTCTAATAATAAACCATATAATTTGTACCACAAATGCCAGTCTTAACCAAATGCGGCACATAGAATGTACACAAAACATATCTTAAGTTCCTTAATAAAGCCAATTAAATAATACTTTGGACTGGTTTATCAAAGTAAATTCGATTTGATGAAACTGAATACAAGATGAAATTACCAAATGAATAAACAGCCACCAACAAATAAAACTTGTTAAATCTTGAAACAAAGAAAATTCTGAAGGAAATGTGTGTGTGTGTGTGTGTGTGTGTGTATATATATATATATTTCATCATTCCATTGCTGCCTTAGTATCAAAATGTCTACAGCTGAACCACAAGGGAAATGGTTACAAAGGATTAACACTTAGGGGTAATGCTTAGTGCTATGTGCCTGGATTTAACAACATTAACAGAAGCCTGCACAGTTAAATCCTTCTACATCCTGCTGAAAATGTGCCCTTCGGTGTCAACTTTGCTTGACAAGGTATTTTCTGGGACTCAGAAAGGTGAAATTTCTTACAGGGGTGCAAGATTAATGGCTAGAAGAACTGCATTGTCACAGATATCACAAAGTGTTTTCAAAAAGCCAAAGGGGATTTAATCTTATAGACATTTCCCGTTAGTGAATAAAGAGATTTAGTAGCTTTTGGACATATGAGAGGAAGAAAGACACAAGCTTGTGTTCAATTTTGTTTTACTGCTTCCCTATTTCTCCTATTCCTATTACACTCTGGAACACTCGTTCCCGTATGTTGCTAAAATTAAAACACTATTAAAAATGCAAGCAGAATGGTAACGCACGCATGTGCAAGCATCACACACGAAACTCCAACTTAAATTGATTCCTGGGTATATAGCAAATGATACAGTATATACACATTTATTACCTAATAGTTTCTAGAAGAGCAACTAAACATAAATTTTATAACACAGAAAAATAAATATACACCCTGTATTGTACTTGTCCTTGATCAAGCAACATATTTATACACGAGTTTCTATAACTTAACGCTGTGTAACAGCATTTTAAAATTACAAAAGAAGGTATCTATTAGGAAATTATCTAATCATATTGCTCTTCAATACACTTATGTAGACAATTCAGACTTGAAGTAAACTTCAGGAAATTGCAGCTTTTGTTAGCCCACAAATGGCTATAAACTTTTCCTTTCAAGTAGATTCTTGGAAGTTTTGAAAGGGGCTGCCTTAATTCAGTCTGTAAAGGTGCTCTATATAGTTATATTTTCATTTATAAAATTTTGTAGAAGTAGTGGAAAGGATTTTCTTGTTGCAACATAAGATCATGTTTAACCTCATGTTTTTATTCTATGCGGGTTATACTTGCTTCATGAAAAACGAAGACACTGAGAGGAAGATAAGGAAATTTTAGTAAAACACTGATTACAAATTCTGTGGCTTGAACCAAGGCTCTCCTAAGGTTTAGAAATCACTGAGTTTTCCCTTTCCCCCCCTTTTTTTTTTTTTTGTTAAAATAAATCTCAGGGCTTGTTTACAAAGTGCAGAATCATTCACTTGACGAAGTGACATGAAAAGGAAGTTACAGTGGCACCATCCCATTTACCAGCTGCACCTTCATTTCTTGAAGGCTGTTCATGATCTTCTTCTGGTGACCGACAAGAGTCACTCCAAGCCGTCTCAAATCCCTGTATGAAGAAAGCACACATTGGATGTATGTATTGATTCAATTGGTAGCACACCTCAATACTTTCACGCTGGCAAAGATACAAACATTTTGCAGAAGCTAATTAGATTACAATCCTATATGAGACATCGATATGATACAATCCGATATGAGACATATCGGGTCCAATTTTCAAAGGCAGGCTTCAAAATTGTACCTTGAAAATCTGTTTGCAAAGAAATATTTAATATAAATACTGATATAATATATAATTGCCCCCACCTCATCTTTTGGACATCATTATTTTGGTGGCACAGATTAGTGGAAAAATAAATTTGCACGTTTACCAATAACATATTTAAATTGAAGGTACAATTTCATTGAATAATTTTGAAAATGTGGACCTACAACAGGAACAAGAGCTTTTTTGTTTTGCTAGAAGAAATAGGCATAAAATATACTTTAAAATTTTTACAGTTAAGCAGTCAAAGACCATACTCCTCAAATGACTCAGTCAGTACAATCATTTTATATAACAGATTATCTTTATGGGATAATGATCACTACATTGCTATATGAACACTTCCAAATATGTAAAACCTTGGATTGCGAGCAACTTGTTCTGCAAGTGTTTTGCAAGACGAGCAAACATTTCTAATAAATTTTAATTGGATAAAGGAGCAATATTTTGCAATGCCAGTAGTACATGATACCGAATGTCACATGATCACAACTGAGCCAATGCTTCTTGAAATTCACTTTAATATACAAGTGCTTTGGATTACAAGCATGTTTGCAGAATGAATTATGCTCGCAAACCAAGGTTTTACTGGTATTTTATTTTTTACTTGGAACCCAAAATACCAGAGTTTTCCTCCTTTACCAAATAATATCTAGGCTCTTTTGGCATTTAGAGCATTCTGAAGATTACACACTATCAGAAAGTCTTTTCAACCAAGATATATTTTTACTGTTTCCTTTAAACAAGCTTATTCAAAAGAAAATTATAAATGTTTAGATTTCTAAATTAATAGTGTATTATGGAGTTTAAGGTCAGGGCCCATGGTTCCTAATTGTTATTTCATAGGAAATTCAGAAATTCTATTCCCTTGAGGTACATATTTGGCAAATAAAATTATTCAGGTATGTTTGGCAAATAACAACATTAATTATAGGAAAAAAATAACAATTTAAGATTTTCAGGTGACCAAACTGTTTGCCATGTTATATTTCTTCAGATAATTACCTTATTGAACACATTATGGTAAAAGAATATTTGTGCATTCAGTAAATGTATTAACTTCAGATTATCTTAGACTTCCTTAGAATTGAAGACAATGACATTAGAATCATTATATGTAAAATTGGATAGCTTTAGAAACAAGTAAATCTCTTAATTATCAGAGGATAGAAATTTTACAAATGGGTATTTAGGCTCTACGTATATTAGTATTGGACATAATTGCTTATTTAAATAATATCTTAGGTTTCTTTGCCCCTTTATGTTTCATTGGTTTTTTATGAGAGTTTCAGGAAACGGAAAGTAGCTAAAAAAAGAAGCAATTGATACTTATGGTGGCAACATAGTTCTTTCTCTCTTAGAATTGAACATGAGAAAATATTAAAACTATAAGACATCAGTGTAAAAAATAAATATATTTATATTATATTATATTATATTATATTATATTATATTATATATTTATTTATAATGGTAGCCATGGAAGATAATCAGCAAAAAGAAAAAGAAAACAGTAAAAATTCACTTTGAAACAAAATCACTATGGTTAGTTATGAAATAGACTATAAAATAGTGAGTTACTGACTAGCATGGGAATAAATTTCTCTTTTCAACTACATCAGAACTTCTTAGCTTTTCCCCTGTTAACATTATGGGATAGATAAGTCTTTGTTTTAAGGGCCATCCTGTGCATTATAGAATATCTAGCATCATCTCTGGCCTCTATCCACCAAATACCAGAAGCATTGCACTTCTGTTGACCCTTTGTGGTTACAAGACAAAAGACCTGCCATATGTCCCCTGAATAGCAAAATCTTCCCTAGTTGACAACTATAATACTAATATAAAAATAATAAGTGACAATTAAGATGTCCTCTTCCTACATGCTGGAAAAATACATAACTCTATGATAATAGATTTCTGTTAATCTTTCATGGATGAGAAAATGAAGTTTACAGAATTTAAATCACTTGAGTAGATGACACAGCTAGTGGGTGTCAGGGCTAGTACTAAAACCAGGAACCTGATACCAAAGTCCATACTCTTTAAAAATTTCTCATTACTCTGAGATCTGATTTTGAACAAAGTACTTTAAATTACAATAATTTCCTCATCTGTAAAATGAGAACTCTGTAGCTATAACATCAAATATCCAAAATTCTACAGAAAGACAATATTTAATGAGGGAAGCTGAACACATACTTCTTTGAGGCTATGGTAACTCAATCTATACCTCATGGCAATTTCAGTTATGAGCTAATCTATACTTCATGGCAATTTCATTTTACTTCATGGCCGGTCAATAGCATAATTTGGACCTACGTCAGGTGAAAGGGATGAAAATTTCTTAACCTGAAAATAATCATTCTCTGCTAGAGAATTTAAATAATTAGTAAATGAAATGGAGTTTTAAAACATATGTTTTATCATATGCCTTATAAACCCACAGGTGATTCTGACAAATACCCATTCGAAAGTACTGATGCTATAGATACTCAGCACACAATTAGACGGCACAATTCATACTTAGACTGCACAATTCATATGGCTAAACCAATTATTAGGAATGAGCTTTTGAAAATAATCATTACAACTTATTCTGAAAGACCTGAAAAAGAAATTATAGGTTTCCCACTGAAACAGCCTGGATTTTGAATATATAATACCGAAATCTTAAGTGTGTGTGTGTGTGTGATGTGCATACATGCGCCCCACATTCCAAACTTGGTTGTTTCACTGATATCAAATCACTGGTTTGACTTATTTTTATTTCCCTTTCTTAATTATGTAGTAGCTATTTATACATAAGTATAACTTCATTCTCTGAAAATAACTTGACCGCAAGAAAGACTCTGGTTCAGTGCTTTTGAAATTTAAAATTTTTATGACATCTATATCCTGCTAAAGAACACGTTTTGAGGAATTGTATTTGAGTAATAAATGCTGTTATAGAGCTTGTGTTCATAGGCAAATACAATCTTTCTTCAGAACATTTCATACATCTAGATTTTGAGTTAAATTTGTGTAAATTTTTCCAGTGTGTTAAATATAAAATTTCTTTCAAGGTCACCTTATAATATGATTATCCCCTAAGATGCATACGGAAGGTCAGACCACTGAAATTCTCTCTTCCTCCCTCCCACCTCCTCCTTTCCATGGAAGAAATGGAATTATAAAAACACAACACGGCATTTTATACATTGCCATAAATTATGTGTGTCTTTAATGGAATGCTGATGTTTTAAAAATCTGACTTGTCATTTCAAAAGCTGTCAAATTAATGTGCAGAGATTTAGAAAATCGCATGAGTATAATGCATGCAATGTCCATATACCTTTATGCAGTGTGATTTTCAGTGAAAAGGTGAGAGAGAAATAAGATCATTTATGCAAGTTACAGTTGTTCTCGGCAGCAAAGTAGTTCCTTCAAAACTCGTATTTAATATTCTTCTAATTATATTACAAATGACAATTAAAATAGCATTAGAAAAATGTTTTCAGTAAAGGTTTATTCCAATATTGCTAAGTGCATTAATGTATTTTAAGTAGTTTTGCTTCATACTTTCATGACTTCTAAGCATTCCTATTTTACTCTTGTACTGCCAAGTACATATTGAATGGTCAATTTAGCAGTAACAATGTGAGAGAAATTTGTTAAAAATCAAAGTATTTAACATTCGATAATGAAGTTGCTGCTCTACTTACAGTGTTTGCTGAAAAGTTTTTTGAAAATGATGCAAGATATGCTATTTTACTCATCTCATTTTTCTATATAGGAAATTTTACCCAAGGTAAAGTTATAAATGTGTCTCTTTTATAAGTATTACACTAAATGTATCATGATCATGTGTAATCTTAAGTAATACCCAAAGCCAATTCTAATGATGATAAACTATGATTCAGCATAGGCTTATGAATTTAAACATGATAAGAGGAGTATTGTTACATAAAAAATAACTTGGCTTTTGTCAACAAAGCAATATCAGTTTTAGAAAAGCTGCAAATATAATGAACTGGCATTGATGGAATTACATTTCAGCATATTTTCAAATGTTACTCTATAATATTAAACAATGGAAAACACTGATATTATGATACTAAAATGGCAGAATGAAAACATAGAATAACAAGAGGTGTCTAGCTGATATTGGAACAACTCTTGATTATTCAGGATTTAGTTCACCCGTCTGTGGATTAGTCATTCCCTCACTACTCCTCCCTTCTGCTTTACACACCTGTTAGCCATATCACTGGTATTTACCCCAGCAACACTGGCTGGATAGGAGAAGGGAGAAGAGAGATTAACAAATATTCACTAAATTTCAGTGTTTATTCTTGTTGTCATAATTTGATCATGCCATTAACGGTATGCTTGAAATTTTTTGGTTCATTTAAAGATTCCTGATAATCATTTATATATCTACTATACAAGATAAATACATTTACATTTGGCAAAGATTAACCATGTATGGTCATGATTTTCAGTGAGTGAGACATAGTGATGGTTGGACTAGAAACGTTAGCTTAATTATGTAGAATGAAGAGGATACTAAGTACTCCCATGTGTATTTTAGGTGTGTAATACATTATTCATAATGTCTTTATTGATAAGATAAAAACTCTGCTTGAATTGGTGTGCATAAATTTTGGCCCTAGATTTGTGAAACTTCCATTTTAGTAGTTGAAGGCCCCATTTGAATAAGTGATACTAACATAAACCTCTTCAGTTTACACACAATTGGCATAATATTTAAATTCACTGGATTTTGTTCGTCTTCTGAATAATCAAAAGTTGACAGTGCTGGTCTGACAAGAAGTTTTAAAAAGCAGCGGTAATACTGTCCTTAATACAGGTTTTTGGATTCAATTTGCAACTCACCTCAAGCTTAACAATTCCCCCTGTCAACCACAATTCACTGCATTTACACACCATAGTACAGATTGCATCATTACTGCCACAACAATTGTTCTGTGTATTGTACACAGAATAGCAAAGTTTAGGCACAGAGATGGCAGACAGAAACATCTAAAGTTGAAAACCACATTGCCGAACACATTTTAACTCTAAGGTTGTTAACCTGTTCATTTTCTTTCCACATTAAGCCATATATGTATGTTACTGGCAAGAAATAAACAAACAAAAGAGAGTAAGAAGAAAGAACGAAAGAACGAAAGAATGAAAGAAAGAAAGAGAAAGAGAAAAAGAAAGAAAGAAAGAAAGAAAGAAAGAAAGAAAGAAAGAAAGAAAGAGAAAGAAAGAAGGAAATCGCAAACAAAATTAAACCTTTATGATGGAAAATTTTTATCAAAGTCAGCAGTTCTGAAAAATTGTAATATTTTCTCTCCCTTTTTTTGAACCCAATATAAGAACAAATTTGATGGCATAAACTCTAACATATTTTTCTAATTTAATTATATGGAAATTTGATCTTTTGCTTTATATTAATTGATCTTAACTGCACCCCCCCAAGTATTTATTACAGGTATACTTCCAGTTCTCAATTTCTATTATTCCTTGGCAATAATGTGGACGATAATATTTATTATATTATTATAGCATATGCAACCTCCATAAAATGAGTATTTAAATATTGGGTAAAGGCCATGTGTAAAAAATCATTATCTTAAGTGTTTAAGAGCTTGTCTTTGTCTTTGCTGATATCCCAGCTCCTTTGCCGTCCGTGTGCCTTTAATAATTATTTTGGTGAAAGGCGAGCAAAATGCACAGTCTTTTTCGTATATTCCTGACCAAACAAGTAACTGATTACTCACTGTTTTGTGAGTTATTTAAATAACATTTTGATAAATGTGTTCTTGCCAAACAGGAAGAATGTGGTCAAAACCACAATAAACAAGAGGACATATATTTAAAGGTGTGGTACTCCAACGAATCAGCTTCAATGGATTTGAGGTTTGCTGGCTCAGTTCATGGTAAAGAATATGTTTATTGGCTCAGGAGTCTGAAGCAACTGATACATGGAGACAAACATCTCTGAACAGGAAGATTTTAGCACAGTTTCCAAATTTCACTTTACTCTTCCGGTTAAGGTAAATGAATCAAAAGACAAAATATCAGAAAAGAGGCAATATAGCCAGAGGCAACAAGATAGCAGAGTAATGGAGACAAAGAGAAGAAACTGAACCAAGTAGAGAAAAATTGATCAGATAAAAACTACCAGAGAATAGAAATGGGTTGGAGAACCATAATTAGAAGAGAGAAGAAGGCTTCAAGTCTTTAAACAAAACATACAAAATGAGAGTTTGAGGATAGAGGAGCTGACAATAAAGATGAGCGAAAATAATTAAAATCAATAAATGAAATGCTAAAATACAATGCTAAGATATTCAACATATTTCTAGTATTTGGGGGCCCCAAAGAGATAAAGTAAAACAGAGGTAGTTAATGCAAAACCATTATTTGTGATTAAAATTATCTGTGAAGGGAGGAGCAAAAAGATAGTGGATGTATATATATATATATATATATATATATATATATATATATATACACACACACACACACACACATAGGTATATGTGCTATTTTAATAAAAAAAGAGACATCATTTAATGCAAATAATTTTATTATATATTTACAAGTAATCTGACATTGGGTAGAAGAAATACCTACAGTATCATTTTAATATAAAATGACAAATGACTTTAATAAATTAAAATGACCATTTTTACTGAAAAATTAAATAGCAATCATGTAAAAATAGTTTTAAATTATCAACAAAATTTTGTTTACTCTTTTAAATATAGCACAAATGAGTTCTTTGAGTGTTGAAAGAAATAATGGGCAAAGCATACGTGTCATCAAATAGATACGATTTGGAGGCGATGGTGAAGATGACGTTCAGCAACATAAGAGAGCATGCTGAGTAGTGATTTTAGGTCCAGCATTATAGGGATGAGGATAAGAAATGTTGAGAATGTGACATTAACTGGTGACAAATGATGGTACCCTGTTACCTTTCGTGTGGACTGGCAGTGAGTTCAATGAGTCAAAGAATGCCAGAATAGAAATGGTGAGTGCTCAGTGTTAATATTATGTGAAGTAATGGAATAAGGACTGTGGTTTAGTGCTTTAGAATGTTCTACCATGTTCTAATCCTTACAACAATATTTTAACCTTTGAATCTGTAGGGAATTTAAAGTACGTTGTCATCATATTCATAGGTTAAAACATTATTCATGTTAATGTAAGCTAGATGGAACCACCATAACAACAGTTAATTTTCACAAATAACAAATATTAGGCTAAAATAATTACACATACAGAGTATATAATAAAATACAAACAACTTACAACCTTAAAGAATTTAATGCTTAACTCTAGTGATTTTTATTTAATAAGATTTGATAAATTTTATCTTAAACGTGCAAACAGAAAAGGGCACAATTGGTTCCACTGAGATTGTACCAAATAACAAATCAGAGGCAGAATCTAATATATCCTTGGATTACAAGAATATAAGGTGCACCACTTAGAGATTGAATGAGATTCCTGCCTGGGAAGCTTTGTTTAAGCTGTTGCTACCCGGGTATTCATCATAGCCCAAATTTAAGAATATGTTTTGCTGTTATGTAGGACTAGCCACACCAATTGTGCTTACAGTTTGTTTTGTAATTACATTCATATAACATAGGTTCCAGTATAAAAACTTCATCAAGAAAACATCTTTTCCACAACACAAAATACCAGTATTTTGCCAAGGAGCTGTTATTCCAATTATTCAAATATTCAAATGCTATTTGTTTGAAGCAAAGAAGCAAAGATACTGGCCACAAGTAGCATTAACCATGCAGTTGTTAACAATACAGGCTAAAAAAGAAGAGGCTTCTTTGAAAGCTGTCACACATGGGCAAAGGTTAACTGATTTCCCTTGACCTCATCCAGATTGGATTCCAAACAATTTTTCTCGCCCCAGCAATTATGTAAAAATTATCAGAAAAATTACTCACTCCAAGGTCACCTGAGCCACAGCGTCCATTGAACTGTATCCATTTTCCATGAAAATCTCTGTATACCGGCCCATTTTGATTGCTTCTAGCCATTCACCTACTGATCTGTAGGCCCCAGATCCCAGTGGGCCATGTTCTGCCAATAAATTAGATACCCTAAAACACAGAGCACATCAATATTAAAAGTAACATTTTCATGTCTTTTATTATAAATTGTAATATTAGCTCCCTATCAAGGGATTTTTGGGTTTTTGGAAGAAAATAATTTAAAATATAGAACACAAACTTAGTCTATTCAGATTTTTTTCTACTGTCAATGAAAACTTATGATGGCTTAATAAGTAAATGTTCTGTAATATAAAACATTAGCTGAAAATTCCATTAGATGTATTTACTTCCTCCTATTGTATTTTGTTTATAAAAATAATACAGAAAATGCTGCCAAAATTAGATATGAGGGATAATTTGTGTCAGCCCAATTGTTCCTAGACATTGCTAGAGAAACTCATGCTCGTTTAAGCTAATTTCTCAGGAAGTCCAGAAGTTATTTATCCTGTATTTTACACTCTTACAAAAATGTGCTTGTTAACTTGACCCAGGAGTAATAGAATTTTGAAAACAAAATGTAACCCCAAATACTTTAGAAAACTGAATGGGATTAACCAACCAGGAGATACTCTTAGTTGTACTAGACTCATATTTTTGGTCCAATAATAATAATGATACAATTATGAGAACCATTTCTGGAAATACATCCGAAGTAAATGACTAGGAAAAATGACAAAAAGTACTTGTACCATTTTTTACTAGTGGGAATGAATGCCAAAAACAATTTAAATGTCCATCAGGGGGATTTGCCTCGGTAAATTTCAACCATAAGATAAAGGACAAATACATTTCTTTTGATTCATTGTCTCTGCACTTTCTTACATTCTGTTTACACTTCAACCTATTCCAGTATATTTCCTCCCAAACCAATTCTATAAAAATTTCTCTCACTGTGGTGAGCAATGATTTTTATTTTGCCGAAATCTATAAATATTTCCTATCTACAAAATGATTGACTCCTCAGAAATTTTTAACATCCACCCCCACCACCTCTCTTTTGAATTCCTATGTTGTCTCACAAACTTTTGAATAATTCTCTCTTTCTTGGCTACCAGGACATTGAATTTCCCTTGGCATCTTTTAAACCTCCTTTGCCGATTACTCCTTTCCCTGGCTTTAAAATTTGGCTCTGTATCTTCTCAGCTCAGGCTAAGATTCCACTCTAGGTAATTTTACCCATTTTTATGCTTCAAGTGGCATCTATTTTTCTCCAATTTTTACCCCCAGCCCAAGTGTCTCATGTATTCCTGTAGCTACTTACACCTCCATATTTCTCATAGGAATATTGCCCCAACATGTCTGAAACCACACTTGATATCTTTTTCACATCCAATTCCTCCTGCAGTCTTCCACGTTCTAGAACATGATACAACAGTTCACTCCTTCCTTGTCTTCAGTCCCCTCACAATCAGTCATTATGTGTACTATCCATTCTACTTCCAATATATCACATATCTGATCACTCCTCTATCTCACTTGTTGCCACTTTAGTTCAAGACATCATCATGGCATATCTGCCAACTACTCTAGCCTCTGAGTTATCCTCTAAATTCTATCCTCACTCTCTGCTGCACAGCCAAGGTTCTTTTTTAATGTGTTTTATTTTGTTCAATATCTTCCTCCTCCAATAGTGTGTTGTTCAATGCTGTATACTCAGCACCTATCCCACAGGATGACATGATGTGGACATGAACATGAATCTGAACATGAATATTGGCTGAATAAATGGGTATCTTGTGATTTGTAGCCTTTAAGTAATAGGGGTCAAAGATTTTATGAAGGTAGCAATACAGAAAAAAATAGTTGGAGAGTAGGATCTTGAAGTTGACATTATGGAGGAGTTGCAATTTTTAGTAACAGCAAAATCTAGAACATAACGCTGAGAAGGAGAGTTCATGGTAGGCTAGAGACCAAAAATGAGAGATATTCAAACATCATCTACATGGTTACTGAAATCACCAAGCTTTGTGACATGGGTGAGAATAAATACCAGTTAAGACAATGACTGGGAGCTAATGTCTTCTAGAATTAGGATTTGTAGATGACCGAATAAAAATGGCTAGTAAGTGCTATAGTCTTCAGCCAAATCTGTTTAAATGAAACCTAGCAAGATGATTCTATATATTGCACACACACACAAAAAGAAAAAAATTTGGAGACTCTTAAACTGTTCTCAATCTATAATGATATCAATATAAACTAACACAATTTAGATCATCAAAATGTCTCTTTATGATTTCTTTTCTTTAGGTCCCTTTAGACAACATAATTCAAATAAGTAGATGAAAGAAATGCTTACATTTTTACATGACAATAAATAACTTAAAGGCAGATATTTCAGTAGCAACATAAGGAATATTCACTAAGAAGATAAATTCTCCAGTTGCTACTACAGAAAGTTAATGATGCTTGAACAGAAGTTGAAGTTTCATTCTTCATTTGTATTTAAAAATGACTTTTTGCCTAATAAACAAATGTTATGTCAGAATCATAGAACTTATGTAACTTTATCAACAGATTGTTCCTCATTTAGTTCATGCTAATAGGAGGCCAATTTGGTTACACTTCTTGTAAAAATAAAGATCTGACTCAAATATAGTGAAAATAACATTCTGGCAATTTTTCTTAAGTACAGAGTCAAACTGATTTATTTTTTGTGAGGATAATTCTGTAATTTATCACGTCAAAGAGAAAAACATGTTTTACAAATATGTAACATTGTTTAAGTATATTCATGTGCATTCGGAAAATTGTTTTAAATATTCATTTGTGGGGTGCCTGGTGGCTCAGTCGCATAAGCGTCTGACTCTTGGTTTGGGTTGAGGTCATGATCTCAGGGTTGGTAAGATTGAGCCCTGGGTCATCAGGTTCTTCACTAATAGCACAGAGTCTGCTAGGGATTCTCTCCCTCCTTCTCCCTCTCCCTCTCCTTCTCTCTCTCTCGCTCTCTCTCTCTCTACATAAACAAATAAACTTAAAAAATTAGAAGTAAAAAAGTAAAAATGCTCATTTGTTTCACACAAATTTATTCATTTATCAGTTTTAAGTTTTGTTCCAATTGCACAGTAAGTGATTCACCAAATATCTGTGTACAACCAGATAGGAGCAAAGAACCTCTAAAGGAGTTGTCATTGTTTATAAAATATGGCAGACACTAAAGTCTATTATAAAGAAACCAAAGAGTAATTATTGTTAGATATCTCTGGTTTAAGTCTATCAGTGCTCACTTGGCTATCTCTATGATCTTATAATTTTATTTTGACCCATCCACACTAATGTGAGACCCAAAACACATGAAAATACACACATTTGAGTTTTTTATAATATTATCTGAACTTGGTTATAGTTAACATTTATCTGAAACTGGCATTTACACTGGTAGATTAGGCATAGATACTTTTAATTTGATTATTTATATTTCATTGTAAGAGAGTACTATTACGCAAAAACTGTATTTAAATAAATTAGTGTCATACAGATCCATAGATTAACGTGTATACTGAAATGATGTTATTGATTTAATATTCATGGCATCAAGTTGAATTAGCTACATTAGGAAAAGCTCTCAGGTCTGGCTTTTTACCTGCTCGATGCATTAACCAGCGTCTTCAAGCTACTTGGGTTACGTATCAGCTTATCCAACATGTTGACAATCTCATCAAACTTGGGCCTGCTATTTCGGTCTTTCTGCCAGCAATCCAGCATTAACTGGTAGAGAGCAGCAGGACAGTCCATGGGGCTTGGCAGACGGTAGCCTTCCTCCACTGCTTTAATCACCTGCGTAAAGCAAAACAGAGCCATACTCAACACCACAAACAATACAGAATAGCTCGAGAAATTTCCTACTATCCAACTTTCATTCTGTCTTAGTCTTACTCTTGCACTGATAACCAGCATTGTTCTCTCTCAAATCTCTGATTACTTCTATTTGCTGCAAAATAAAACAACAATAACAAAAAGTAAATATGTTATCACAATGTAAAAAGATATTTTCTTCACATATTATAAAGAAAATAAGTGGTAATCATTTTTACATAAAATCTTGATGAAGGGTGATTTGTAACATTAACTGACATAAAAATAATGTTCATGTTTTATTTATTTATCCTTGCATTCTGGAACCAAATAGGGATTAGAGTTTTTTAGTGATTTCTCTGAAAAGTTAATGTCTTTGTAATGAAAAATTATGGGCAGATCCACGTTTTTTAAAGCAATAGAACTGCAATTTTACTTCAAAAGAGACTTTTGGAGGGTAAATGATGGATAAGTCAAAGGCTAAATTAGCATAACTGTCTCATGTATCATTTAATAATGTCAGAGTCTGGCTGTTTATTATCATCTACTGATTTCTGTCAGGAATTTGGAATAACTGCATAAGTAGCACAGGCATTACAAACATCATCGATTTTAAATAAAACCACACATGTGAGTATTGTCTAATTGTGAAATTGTTTCATCAAAAACATTCATAATGTTGCTGCTGCCATCAAAATGTCTAACTACAGAAGAAATTCGTTTATGCTTCTGAACATAATGCAGGTTTTATTCTAGAAAATTCAAATATTTAAGTGATCCCCCAAATCAATAATAATAAACATAGTTCTCAAATTCCTGTTGTGGATATTTCCTTAACTATTAATTACATTTTTTGAGAAAGACTTTAGATTTGATTTGACAAATGAAAAAACATATATGATGATTAGAACAGGAAATTTACAAAAAAAATCTTGCAAGATTGGAACGAAACAGTCTCTCAATGGTAAAGAAAATGGCACCTGCACAAAAGCAGGAGCACATAGAAAGAAGATGAAATGGTATATTTAAGGGAACTTTATGGCCTAGAGGTAGCAGGTAGAGAGAAAGTGTTTAAGTTCAAACCTTTCACACTGGATGGTTGTTACTATTTACTTTAGCTAAACACATTCATGGGGGGAGAGAATGTTGACAAGTATAATTTGGGGCTTGTTTTGTTTGGAGTGCATGGGGAACACCCAGATGACACTTGGCAGGAATCTGGTTAGGGTACAGGAGATATTTGAGATGAAAATGTAAATGTGAGAGTCATCATGACTTGGTTATAGCTTGAATCCAGGTGTGGTATATATCTACCCAGGAAGGGCATGAAATAAAAGTTCCTGACAAGCACAAATAGTTAAGTTCAGGCACTTCAAGGACTCAAGGACTCCAAAAAATAAATGGTCAAATAACTGAATAACTATGAATGAAACTCCTGAGAGTCACTTACCACTTTAGTTAACTTAACTCAAAAACAGCATAAAAAATTAAATGGCAAACCATGGTAGAAATTATTACAAAAACTAAAACATATGGTTAGCCTCTTTAACGTATTAAAAGTGGATGCATATTGAGAAATAACATGATAAAACAACAGATTCATGAGGAACAGATATTAATCAAAAATTTATAAAAGAAAAAAATGCTAAATAAATTTTGAGAAAACATTTATTCTCACTGGTGATCAATAAAAGAATAGTGAAAGAATAAAAAGTACTATTTATAATTATATATTAATAAAAGTTCATTTATGTATTAGTTTGCTTATTAGAAGACTTCCCATTGCTGATGATAACAGCAATAGCAGTTATCTTTAATAACGTGAGTACCAAAATAAAATGTCCTAATACAGTTTGTCATGAAATATTTCAGTATGCAGTGAGAACAGTGATTTTTACTTATTTAAAACCTGATTTGTTTCATAATGAATTTTCCCCAAAGCTGCTACCGATAAGCTCTCTTTTTTCTTTAACACCTATGCTTTTTAAAATATTGTCTTTCTTTCACTGAGTAGCTAGTCTTCACATGTGACTGTGAAATGAGTAAATGAAACCAAGCCACTAGTTTTAAAGGAATTTTATGAGTTATTTGATTTGAGATGCTATTTCTAGACTATATTACTTAATCAACTTTATTTTCAGGCAAATTTATAAATAGAAATATAATACCATGTCTCTAAGTTAACCTCAGTACTTGGTCCAGGAAATTAGGTCATTGAATTTAATTCTAAATTCATCTTTAGAATTTATCTTCAAAATATATTTAAACTATAACTTGAGATTTTATATTCCAACATATTGAATTTTGTTTTTCATTTTTAACTACATTCCCTTCATAGTTTGGGGGAGAAATTAATGTATTAGTGCTCTGGTGGTTTGTGAAATGCTTGAAATATATCAAAGTGCAATTCAGGCTATTCATTTTATTACACAGTTTATAATGTATAGCTAAATGAATCATAATCTCCATTGACTTTCTTATTACCATTACATTTGTTAAGGTAGACAGTTGAGATAAACAAAGGAAAGAAAGAGAAAAAAGAAACAGACAACCAGAAGTTTTACAGATTATCTGGCACCAGTTCATATGGGCTACATCTAAAATGTTATTATAAGCTACGTGTTTTCTTGGCATTGACATGTAAATCAGTCGTCTAAACACAATTTTAAAAATGCTGCTTCTCTTAATACATGAAACTTCAATACTGAGCACCCGATATGGCACTATTCACTTGGTGGCCAGTTGACTTCACTGGGCCCATTTTGTCATGTAAGGGTCAGTGGCTTCATCCTTTCACGTACATATACCTATTCTGGGTACAATTTGTTTCTGCTGCCCACAGAGCCTCAACCACCATTACAAGCTTTGCAATACTTGATCCACAAACACTGAATCCCACACAGCATATCACTCAATGAGGGCACCCACTTCCTAGCAAAGAATGTGTGAGTATCGTATACTCAGTGATGTACTGGTAAATATTTAACAACAGGCTCTCCTTGGTGGGGGGAGGACATATTGTATCGTTTACTTGTTTACATGGTATAAATACTCCCTCCAGGTCGATTGCAAACTGTTAACATGATCTCATTCTGAAAATCTGCTAGCTGGTACAAGGGTGGTTCCAGCAACCACTGCACATAATACATCATAAATTCATACATAAGGCATTTAAGCTGCTTTCACACAGTTGGGGCAGGGAAAAATACTGTGAACACTAGGTGATACACTTGGGACTTCTTGTTACTCTTTTGTAATAACTGTGGCCTGAAAAGGCTAACCCCCAAGAATGAAAGATGGATCCAGGCTACTAGTTCAGCCACCATGACCTGCCATATTGATAAATGAGAGGAATCCAGAATGGATAGTGAAGGAAGGAGAGGCAAAGGACCAGGTGAGGTCCTGAGATCAACTGAAACCACAGGGACTACAGTTCAGTTCATAACCTGCCTCTTCTGAGTTTCCACTTAGATAGAAAAACCCATAGAATCATGAAACAGATGCTCCTGGAACCTGTGTGGGGAAGTAGGTCCGTGCTGCAAAAGGTGAAGAGCATGGAAATCATGAAAATTTGTCTCTCAGATCTTTACCTGCTGGATGCTAATTAATCAACAACCCTTAACCCTAAACTTTCTAAAACCATCATCGCATTTACACCAAAGCCAGGCTTTGCAAAGGTTACTTCCAGTCAATTATTGAGCATGGCAGTGATAATAAGATAGGCTCATTTCTATGTGACCCCTATGACAGACAATGTTTTCACAGTCTGACATCTCTCCCAGCTATCCTGCATTCCTCTTCCTTACAAGAATTTCTCCTTAATAATACTAATGTATATCTAATTCCTTCTTGGAATAGGTTTCTTGCAGGACCTAGACTAGCACAGGCATTATATCATAAGCACTACACCACAAATTGTACATATAATATCTATATTCATCATCATCATATATTTGTAAGATAGGAACTATTATATGCATTTTATAGATGAAATGTATGAGACTCCAGAAGGTTAAGTAATTGCCTGTGTTTACACAACCAAGAAGTAGCAGTGGTAAGATTTACAGGCAAGTCTCACTGGCAAGCAAACCTGTGATCTTCCCATCCTGATGCTAAGTCTCACCATTGGAATTAGAAATAACTACCTTCCAACTAAACAATTTGGGAGAGTTATAGATCTCACTCCATGGAATCAGATTTCTTGCTCCACAAGAAAAAAAATATCTACAATTAAAATGTGCTATTTTGGAAAGGAGTGCATTCTTCATCACAGGAGATGTAAAAATGTAAGTTGGATAACTGAGTGGCAGGAATTTTGTAGGCGGAATTTGAGCATCAGCAGTGTGTTTTGATGAATTAAGTTTAACTAAGGTGTGAGCGCCTATGTTGCTAGGTATTTACTTGAAATCTCACACATGAGTCATTTTGTTACTGTGAGATATGAGGCTTTTCAGAAGTGACTGGAGTTTAAGAATATATTCTTGGAAATAATCTCAGATACCAAAGAAATAGTTCTGGATATACCCATTTTTTTCATAGGATTTATTTTCTGTTTCCAATATTATTAAAGATATATAGAGTATATCTTTTTCTTAGTACATCAATCTTAGATCAGTAGCATTCCAGAGATTAAAGACATCTTAAAAATCCTCTATTCAAGTCCATTCCTTTTGTAATCATTGAAATTGACCAAGAGTTACAGATTCCAAAATGACTGGCTTTTAGTTCAAGATTTTTGGTTTTTGTTTTTGCTGTTGTTGTTAAATAGAAAGGTACAGGACTTTTGAACTGAATATGGATATTTCTTTATGTATCGCTTACTCCAAAGGGATAAGAGTTGAAATGAGGTTACCAGTCACTAAAATAATTGCTTTTCTCTCAGGGCAGGCAGCATTATCCTTGCAAGACTAATATTATCTTCAAAGACCAATATTTTCAAATACACTCATTGTAGATATTATTATACTAAGGCTATTAAGTCAAATAATTTGTTCACTGTCAAATATTGGTAATTTTCAGTATTTATATGGGACCTAAGTTCCTCACACTTTAATTATAACATGCTGTGTGTTATCTAAAATATTCTTTTTGTTTTACCATAAAATATTTCAGAAATATAAGATATGTGTATCTTTTTTTGTCCCATCAGAAATTACAACAAAGAATAGAAGGAGGACGAGAGGCACGCCCCGTACAAAGTAGGCTGACATCCTTTTGGGGTCAAAAATTCTTCCTGCCTTAGAGTAAGATGTAGGCCAGCAGAAATAGTAATAGAAAACAGTCAAAAAAAGAACAAAGAACAAAAGTAATTCTAACATAAGAAGACTGAAAAACAGATAAATGAGTTTCTAAAACATTTTGTAATCTATGTGCTTAGTGTAGTCTACATATTCATATATTTCCCAATAAATGCAAGAGTAAAACACTGTTACTAAGTATAAAAATGCAATGCAATTAAGTCTCTTTTTATTTGGGTCTGGATTTTAAGTTCAGAAAAATGTTGCCATTTAAAATGTTTGCTATCAATAAAGAAGCCTCTACTGACCTCAGGATATTATCTTAGCTTCCTAAGCTTGAATCAGAGTTCACGGTCTGGTATTAAAATTATCTTCATCATTATGGTTTATTTTTATGATGTGCTGTTATGTTTTTTCTCTGTGATGACAGAGGCAATCCTAATCAAAATAAACCCACTGCAGCATTCTGTCCCCTTGACATAGTGGAAGATCTCCTCTGGGAGATTTAGAATATTCTGCATGTCTTGGCAGTGTAATATTTTCATGATGCAAAGCCTTTTAAGAAGTAGATAGTATCTGGAATGTAGAGATTGTGGGATATATCATTCAAAACACCAAATCAGTACTTCTATTTTGCTCTCTGAGAGTTTGTTTCCAAAGAAATATTCAGTGATCATGGTGTTCAAATACAGATCTGTCATGTTTCTTAAATACAAATTTGGATAGCAATTGAGGAAATCAAACTTAGTGCTATATGTAGAAGCTAAATGCTACTAACAATTGTGAACCTGCTTCGAAAATACATAGCATCTATTGTACAATTTATTAAAAGCAGACAGAAAGATCTGCAATTTTATAATCATTTACTTTAAACCTTATCTAGATTCTTGGTAAACCTAGTCAAAGCCAAAATATTAGTTTTTATTATAATTTCCTGAGAATATTATATCAGCACTCCCTTTTATTTTCTAAATAGTTTGAATTAAAGTTATCTGAGAGTGTATCAAAACTCTCAAATGGCTAAAATCAGAAAGAAAAAAAAAAAAACGTGTCTCAAATCCTTCATACCTCCTTGTTTCTATGTCCCTCGTAGTGTAATTTTATATTGTCCATTCACAATAGGCAGTGTGATTGCCCTAAATATGGGATTGGCCACTGCAACTGGCCTGATTATTGGATTGACCAATGTAATTTTATGCTACTTGATGAGATGCAATAGGGATCATTCTTGCCCTTCAGTCACTTGACAGATGAGCTCACATCTACACTACTACTGGTCTCCAGAGGAAGATGAAGGTCATGTGGATTAGAGCCACGGTATGCCAGTATAGAGCAACCAACCCCACTGCCAACACGAGCAAGCCCAGTCACGATCAACAAAAACACTATGAGCATTTACATACCATCATGTTCTACTCTGGTCTATAATTTTATTTGTGACAGATGCAACTGTATCACATAAAATTGCCAATAATGTAGATAACAATGCTACACATATCATACACTAGCTGGGAAGGACTAATAATTCTGAGTTACAGAATGAGAATTGAAAAGAAGTTAACTAGGTAAATAAGGGACCGATGTTTTCCTTGGCATGGCAGAATAAAATACTTTCACAACAATTAAAGGACAGAATGGCATTAAAATAAGTCTTAAGAAAAGTTAGAAGCCAACTGTGAAGTGCTCGGTAGTTCTAGTTAGCATTTGGCATTTATCTGAAGAAAAGTAAGTAGCAAACAGGTCTGGTCTTCCTTCAGGTTATAAAAATCCAGAGTTGAATTTGAATTGAAGATTTTATATTCATCCAGATGGCTGATCTAGGATCATTGGTTGAAAATGGAAGGGAAGAAGCAGACATTGATTTAATTGGAGTTAGTGTGGTAGTTTGGTACAAAAATTTTAGAGAATCATGGTGAAATCTCTGGTGCTACTTTTATTATTTTTTGTGACCTTAAGAAAGTCATTTAATCTCTCTAAATTCAGTTTCTTAACTGCAAAACAAGAATTACAATAGCATCTCTCTGATGAGAGATGCACAATAGGAATTCAATGATACAGTTTTTTTTTTTAACAGCACTAGCCCTAAAATTGTAAAGCTGAAGTGAATAGATACTATGTTCTCCCAAATTTAGAGAAATATAAGCCAGCACTCCTTCCCCTAAACCAAGTGAGTAGGACACAAAGAAAACCGATTGTAGCAATTTTAGATAACTACAAAAAGGGTTCACTGCCTTGCCATAGGCTTGTTAGGGGGTGGGAATGCATTAAGCCCAATTTACTGTCACTTATCAGAGAAGAATGCTATGAAATAAGTCTTAGAAAAGCCAACGTGTGACCTTGACATCTCACCAGGAGATATTGGAAGAAGGCAGGCTGGCTGGAGCAGTCTACAACAGTAGTCCAAAAAGGGAACAATGGCAGAGCATCCAACCAGAATGGGTTTCGCTCTCAGGTGAAGTACACATGTGCACTGGACAGCAAGAGACTGTGAGATTGGGAGCAAACAGCAAGTGAGGTGTACCCTGGAAGTAAGTTGGCGTAAGACACCCTCCTCCTCTGGTGACCATCCCCAGGGGGTCCTTTCAAGAGCTCCGACACATACTTCACTAGAGAACCAACGTTTGGGTATTTGACCTGTGGGAGGCATCAACAACTAGCAAAAAAAAAAAAAAATATCTTGCCCTTTCTTTTCTACATACCCATCAAGGGCAATTCTGAAAAATCTAGATACAAACTTTGCCAAAGGAAGAAGAGGAGCAAAAATGGGACCATTCTTCCTTCGCTAGGTACCGAGGGTCAGGCTGGCCTTGTGCTTGTGGAAAACACTTTGAAATGGATATGGCATTGGCTTTGATTTAGACTGGACTTGAATTTTTATATCTGAAATTGAATCTTAATTACTGGCATGGGACTGTTGTTTCAACAAAATGAGGCTGAAGAGCTGTAGGATCTGTCTAATAACCCCTGAAGGCATAGGAGTGGGATATTTTACAGAGCATGGATGAAAGAAATAATTGGAGGAAAAAAATAAATGTTTTAAATCAGTATGCTGTTGAGTTAAGATTGCTCCATATACTGGTTTTATAAAGAAGTAACGAGACAGTTGATGAAGCACTTAAGACAGTATGTGGCACATAGTTAGGGTTCAATATATGTTAGCTGCTTTTACAGTTGTTGTTATTTGAAGGGAAAATATCAAATTTCAACGTGATCCAAAATGGGAAGGCTGTATTGAATAGTAACAATGGAAAATTACAAAAGCAAAGACCAAAGAGCCATGTGTCAGGCATCACATAATAAATATTCTGAACTTGAATAGAAGAATCTTTCATAGTTTCTTTAATTTTAGGATTCTATTATTCTAAGTGTGAATTATTTTTCCATGTAAGAAAAAAATCTGTTTTCCCCCATATTAGACAGTCCAAAACTCTTCTTACACTTTTTTAAATTAAAAAAAAACATAGATTATTATTTTTATCCCCTAAAAGCATCCACTATTACATCAATATCATTCATCCTTTCAGTTTGGAGTATTAGCTGTCTTTATCAAATGCAAATCATGAAAACATGGCTGTCAGTATTCATTCTCTGATGGCTTCTTCTTCATCTTTGAAAATAATACTGACATAAAATGAGTGAACTCATCACTATAGTACAGCTAAAACTGTCTGGCAAGGGACTAAGCTTTTATGTAACAGTAACTTACTTTCTTTTGTACTAACTCATTTTGAGTTTCTGCATAAAGGCTATTTCAACAACAATAAAACAGATCAGAGGGTAAGCAAAGTATTTCATTTTTTTAAGCAACTGTCATTTTGAGAAATGAAAAAAGATTCTTTCTTCCAACTCAGAGAACAAAGCATTTCATTCTAAACTTGAGGGAGAGTAGTTCCATACTTACGTCTTGATTGGTCATCTCCCAATAGGGTCTCTCCCCATAAGACACAACCTCCCACATCACGATTCCATAGCTCCAGACATCACTGGCAGAGGTAAACTTTCGGAAAGCTATAGCTTCTGGGGCCGTCCATCTGATTGGAATTTTGCCTCCCTAAAATTGAAAAAGGATACAAGAATTCCCACATACTTCAAGCACATTTGGGGATATTGCTGCCTCACTAGAAAGATCTAGAAAGAGATGTAGCATTTTTAAGTGAATCTGTTTGACAGCATGCAGTCTCTTTTCACATACCTCAGCCCGTAAGCACTTGTAGACTGACTACTAATTGGCTGTCCGGAAGCTTTCTGGTTTAAATTCTATTTGACTACTGGAACACATACAGGACCCACATCTCAATTACAGTATCAGGATGGCAACTCAAAGAGGGGAAAGCAGGCAGCCAAGCAAATCAATAAGGTAAACTTTCATGACTTTCTAACAGAGAGTAAAGGACTTAAAATCCCAGGGTAGTTTTTTTCTTCCTTTCTTTAACATAGGAATTATAAATGGAAAGTCTTGATTGCTGAATGCAACCCTGAGAAGTTTAACAGTAAGACGAACATGAAAATCAGATATAATTATATTTCCCCCCAACATTGTGCAATTTCTTTTAGACTTGATTTCTCTTATTTTCTGCCAACATATTTTGGTGTTTTTTCTGTTACATACTGTTTTTGTTTTTACCTAATAGATAGGTATCTCACTTAATTTAACCAAATTAAAAATTATTGAAATTAGATTGCAGGGAAAAATTTATGACATGATATCAAGTTTGGAGTTTTTTCATGGTAAAAAAAAAATTGGTTTGGTAGATTTCCTCTTAGTTCACAAAATAAACACTTTTATATCCTTCCGGCAAACTTAGGAAACCAAACATTTCATCCATAAGCAAAAATATATTAAAGGGGGAGGGTACAGGATTTGAATATTTTCTTGCAGAAAAGATTAACTTATGCCTTCCCATTTTGCAGAGAGGGAATGATTTAATTCATACACTAGGAAAAAAATGGAACTTAAGGAAATAACAGCTTCATGTAACATTTGAAGTTGTTCTGTGAGCTGAAGTTAATTTGAACTATTCAATCTATGTTTAAATTATTTGTTCCTTAGATATATGGTAACACCACTTTAAAAAGACTTTCCTGATACATACTTTTGTTAATTAAATATTCATAGGTAAGATTATATCATTAGGCTTGGCCGTGTGTCACTGTGATATTCTATAACGATATAATTACAGAATTATAGTTATATTCTATAACTACACTATTCCTCTTAAAATTGTAGATTGTCAATTACTTTAAACTTCAGGCTAGAACTTTTCTCCTGGTCCTCTGACCATCATATTTGACATCGCTATTATCTGAAGTTCCCTTATCTTCTCATCTCTCAATATACGGATTTTCCATAAATTGCTATTATAACCCATTTCAAAGGAGTAAGTCTTGAAGGTCTTGGGATCTCTGCCTCCCCTCTCCTCGCTTCCCCCCCACCCCGGCCCCCAGCATGATACATTAACACACACCTTGACAAATCTGTTTTATGCATTTAACTAAGACATCAACCAATCATACTGGGAATGGATTTGTCTATAAACTCCTTCTTGCTTAGGCCAAGTTTATTAAGTGTAACAGTAATCCCAATGGAATTCTTAATTGAGGTTTCACTTAATGCAAATAATGAAAATGACAATTAGCTTTAGAAGAGGAGGGATATCCCATCAATTAATTTATTGATTTATTAAGCTAACCATTAAAAGGCTTTGTTTGCTTAGATAAGTTACTCTTGGACTTGAGTATAGTACAGTCCCTAAATATCCATGAATCACAAAGCAACAGCTGAAAAAAAAAAGCCTTATAATCTATGAAAAGAGTTTATCGTTAGACTGCGAGTAGAAGTAATTTTAAATAATTGAATTAAATAAGCAATGTGTAACATATCTGTCTTAAGAATGTGAGATGACTGGGGCGCCTGGATGGCTCAGTCGGTTAAGTATCTGAACTTGGCTCAGGTCATGATCTCACAGTTTGTGAGCTTGAGCTGTGCTCACAACTCAGAGCCTGGAGCCTGCTTCAGATTCTGTGGCTCCCTCTTTCTCTGCCCCTTCCCGCTCTTGCACTCTGTCTCTCTCTCAAAAATAAATAAACATAAAAAAATTTTTTTAAAAATGTGAGATGCCAAAAGTGTCCTTCTGTATTGACACAACAGTTAGCCAAATCTTATAGTGAAAAAGATACAATGATAAATTTTTAGCTTCACAAGGAGTTGGAACATCGAAGATATTTAACTTCATGTTTTCTTGACATTGAAAGATTTAGAATTAAACACAGTTTATGATAAGGGATTCAAACTCAAAAGGTGCAATACATAGAATGCTCCAAAAATTCTCTTACACCAATACCCACAGTTTTCCACAGAAAGAATTGTCAGATATATACCATATCGATTCAGGAAGCAATTACTTTGCTGGAAAAGGGTGTTGATTTATGCTAATTATGACAATATGAGTTAGTGGCCAACTTCCCATAAATGTGAGCTTAGCAGTTAATATAGCATGTCAGGAAAGTAATTAGGCATTAAAATACTTCCAGTGAATCAAAACTTTTTGAAGAAATAGTTACTTTATTCCCTACCATGTGAGTCCTTAAAAGGTAGGCTTAGATATTTCATTTCTATATTTGTTTTACAAATGAGGACACTGTGGTGCAGAGAGTTTAAGCTTCCCAATGTTATACATGTTTATATATTCATATATACATGTATAATATTTATTTGTTTTAGTTAGGAAATTCTCTAACTTTCTCTTTTACATTTAAAACTCTGTATGTACAATTTTCGAAGCGTTGTATTCACTCTGACCTCAAAGTTTTTGTTTTCAGTATCTGTAAGGGAAAAAAAATGAAATCTTGTGACCCATACGGTGAATACTTTACTTATTTGAGTTTAATATACAAATTTGCTGCTATCCAACCTGTAGAATGATTACATTTTTTTATCTCCCCCTCCCACCATCCCTTTTTCTCTCTGTCTTCCTATGGGAGAGGAATGTTCTTTTTACTATTTCCTTTAAACACCTTTAAAAATTAAACATGTCTAGTCTAGTGTTTCAGAAATGCATTCTGTTAGATCTTACCCTGGTAGTATAGGCTGCCTCGGGATCGTCTTCCAGCACCCTGGAAAGTCCAAAGTCAGACACTTTGCACACAAGGTTACTGTTGATTAAGATGTTTCTGGCAGCAAGGTCTCTATGCACGTAGCCCATGTCGGAAAGGTACTTCATTCCCGCAGCGATGCCTCTCAGCATGCCAACAAGCTGAATCACAGTGAATTGCCCATCGTTTTTCTGTAGAAACGATGTAGAAATATTAGTCCTGCGGCAGTAATTACTGGGGGAAAATTTGAAAGGATCTTCCTTCAAGCGCCAAATTAATAGTATCACCAAATTCATATGCCATTCTTAGCTGAAGGAGAATGGAAAAAGTTATGAAATATTTTGTTAATTTTGTAACATTTACCAGTCCTCTGCTTGGTCAAAGCAGATCAAGACTTTGAAAGCTCTTGTCAAAAATCTCATTTAGTTGCCCTTTTCTGCATTGTAATCCCTTTACTCTCAGTTATCAGAGGAGAATGTTCATCACTCCAACCTAGCACCTGCCTTAGATGAACATGGCACATTTTTGAGGTGCTTTAAAATAAGTTAGCTGGATAGGCACATTGGAGTAAAAAAGAAGTGGCTGGAGGAGACAAAGGAGTTTCTTTAACAACAGATGGGAGAAAGATCACTGAGCAATGACCAGACAACGTTAGCATTTCTTAGAAGCTTGCTGTCTTTGTCAAAGGCACTGAATTTACTGCAGGTACATGGAATAAGGCCCAACTAATGATTAACTTGATATAAAGGAATGATATAATCTTAAGAGACTAGAGAACTTGAAGATACGTATAAGAAATTTGACAACAGAATCTGGTAGAGTCTGGAGATTAGAAGAAAACTTTGCCTTATCAGTAGACAGCTGTCCTCTTCAATGCACCGGTCCTTGGAATAATCCTCAAGAAAGTCATTGTCCCATCACCTCGCCTAATCAGTAGTAATAGTTGCTACACTAAATGTGAAAACCTGCCAGCCTACAGGTTTAATCAGGCCTGCAAACATGTTACATTGTCCAGCACAAGCTGTTTAGTAATATAATCAGTTGCCAACAATTAAAATTTGGACACTTGCACATAAAAACAAAACAATACTTTCCCTAGGACCCAGAAGATCTGACAACATTAGTGATACCATCTATTATCATGTAATCATTCCACTGGTAAAAGTGGTGGCTGACCCTCAGATGGGTTATAAGTCTATTGGGTCCCTTTATTAATACAGAAAAGTTGCATAGACCTTTTACACATTTTTTTCCTTGCTCTACCTGACATTATATACTCTGAAAAACTTACTATTTGTAAAAAAGCTTCTTTTTTTTCCTTTTCTTTCCTTCTGTCTTTTTCTTTGTTTTCTTCCTTTTTCTCCCCTTTCATTTTTTTGGGGGGCAAATTAACATATATTTAAATAAAACTATGGGGACATATGGTTTGGATTTGTGTACATTTCTGAAAAGGACAATTTTCAGACCAAAGTTTATTTTTGGAGTATAAACATTCTGACCCCCGAAATTTCTATTTCAAAATTCTGCTTTACAGTGACTTAATTTCAACTTCAACATCATAGCCAATATACAAATAACACTTTGAATAATTAAGTTGGTCTCAAACCTACCTTTAAAAATGTATCTAAAGAGCCATTTTCCATGTACTCTGTCACTATCATCACGGGTTTGCCTGAAAAGAAAACATGGTATGAACTATAATGTTTTGATTTGGCATTCTTATCTAGGAAACGTTTGCCATAAGTTATTACTTCTTCCAAATTATATATATTCTTCTAAAAAATGTCCTCTTTGAGTAGCAAGTAAATTCATGACATGATGATATCTTAGTGTAATGGGAAAGTATCACAAGAATAATAATAGATTGACATTTAAGATATAAAAATACACAATTTTCAATATTAAAATCAGTTTGTCAAAAATAGTTTAAGCCTGCATTTTAGTTTAATACAGGTAATGATATAATATGCCAAATAACATCCAGCAAAGAACTGTGAACATATTTATCTTTCCCACAATTCTGAATAAAAATTCCTGTCTATCTAACTGTCCTGCATGCAACCCCTTGAATATAGGTTGTATTTTCCTAACTTTATTTCTATGTTCTTATAACTCCTTTCCTCATGGATACATCCTTTTTCCTCTCTGTCACACACACTCTCTATCAGCCCAAATTTTTTTCATTCCTCAAAACTCTGTTCTATGGCCGTTGGGTGGGGGAATGGGCTAAACGGGTGATGGGCATTAAGGAGGGCACTTGTTGAGATGAGCACTGGGTGTTATATGTAAGTGATGAATCACTAAGTTCTACTCTTGAAATCATTATTACATTACATGTCAACTAACTTTAATTTAAATAAATATTAAAAATTAAAAAAAAACTGTTCTAATTTCTCTTGCTATCTGGAAACTTCTCTAGCAATCACTGTTTCCTCCCCTTTCATGTCTGATATAGAAATGCAACTTAGAGGTCAGTTGGACAGACTCTGAAGTCATGCTGCATGGCTTTGAATGCCAGATCAATCACTTATGATGCAATCTTGAGCAAATCATTTATTATCTTTGTGCCTCAGTTTTCTCATCTGTAAAATAAGTGAATTAATGTCACCTACTTCACTGAGTTGTGGTAAGTATCTAGCAAGTCATATGGTTATGCAAGTCACTTTGAATAGTGCTGGCCAGTTAGAATTTGATGTTTTGTTATTTTATAAACTTTAACTATGTATCTATGGTTTAAATTTCTTGCTGGATATAGGTTGACTAAGAGAATAGATCATATTTTATCTTCCATAAAATTATGGCACTTTGTATATAATGTATCTGTGATACAAGATGAAAAATACATGATGAGGGGCACCTGGGTGGCTCAGTCAGTTAAGCACCAATTCTTGATCTCGGCTCCAATCATGACCTCATGATTCCTGAATTGGAGTCCCTCACTGGGCTCTGTGCTGATAGTGTGGAGTCTGCTTCAGATTCTGTCTCTCCCTCTCTTTTTGCTCATCCCCTACTCATGATCTCTTACTCAAAATAAACAGATAAACTTAAAAAAATACAAGATCGGGGTGCCTGCATGGCTCAGTAGGTTAAGCGTCTGACTTCGGCTCAGGTCATGATCTCATGGTCCATGAGTTCGAGCATGAGTCGGGCTCTGTGCTGACAGCTCAGAACCTGGAGCCTGCTTCAGATTCTCTCTCTCCCTCTCTCTCTGCCCCTCCCCTGCTCTCTCTCTCTCTCTCAAAAATAAATAAACATTAAAAAAATATAAGATCAAAAATCCTTATTATATGAGAAAATATCTAAAACATGATTGTTAGTTTTATCACTCCACATTGACCTCACTATATTTTAAAGCATGCCCCTTTACTAATTTAATAAAAGCATGTTACATAAAATTTGTGTTAAAATATTTTTTGTTTAAATTGTTACATTTGTGTTAAATTTTGTGTTAAATTATTTGTTAAATTTGTGTTAAAATATTTGTGTTTAAAATATTTTGAGTTAAGTAAAAGGATACCTTATGTCAGAAAAATTGCTATCTTAGATGTCTATTAATTAACTTTTTGTATTATGAAGAGAAACACTTAAACAATCAGAACATGTTGGGATGAGCACTGGGTGTTGTATGGAAACCAATTTGACAATAAATTTCATATATTAAAAAAATAATCATAAAATGCATTATAATTAACATAATAGCATTCTCCAGAAAAACATCTGTATTTTACTGAAGAAGTGATTAATTCAACCCATAGAATTATATATTACATATTTGTTCATACAACATTATCTAGAAGTGCAAATAAAGCTATAGAAAGTTAGACAACTACATATGACAAAGAAATAGATTTTCTCATGTCAAGATCACTTAAAAGTTACTATTTAGAATAATAAGGTAGTACTAATTTCTTACTCAGATAATTATCTTTTTTAAAAAAATACTTCAGAAGCAATATTCTTTTAATTGAATGTGATGAGTATATTACAAATCAAGACACATTTCTCTCTTCCTCTTTAATGTTTAGAAAAGTATTTAAAATTTTTGTCTAAAATAATTCCTTTGGCATACGTTTGTAGACGCCTACGTTTGGTGAAACATCACATATGCAGAGAACAAACACTAGAGAGGGAGAGTCATCATTTGATCTGAACCTTGAAGACTGAAGGGGACACCCCTGTAATCAAAGGTAACATTCCAGGAAGAAGAGGCAACATGTGCCAAGACATCTTATCATGAAAGAACCCATCAAGCTCAAATATGGCTAAAGCCCTGGATTTTTGCTTTGTCAATTAGGAAGTGATAGGAGATGAGTTGGGAAACAAGTTTCTTAAAACCTGACTGGGCATACAATACCTTAGTAAAATAAATAAATAAATAAACTCATAATGTATTTCCAAGTGCCTGTGACAGCACAAGAGAAGAAAAGATTATGTTTTTTTTTAATTAGTTAATTGTAATCTAAGCTCATGAATAGAGAAGTGTTTCCAGTTTAACTTTATTTTAATTATATTGCCACCACCATTTTAATTCAACTTTTAAAATAAACATAATTGTGCTTTGGACCTTTTTAGTCACATTCTCACATCTCAGAGCCCATTTTAGCCTTTCTTTAATGTGGAAGCTCCCTCCTCCCACCCTTTTTTTTTCCCCCAAACTTCACAACTAATATACTTCCCCAGGAGTAATGGCCAAAATATGTGATAACTGCTTTGGCACAGGTACCTATGTGTCAGGAGTTACACCAGCCACAATGCTGGAGTATTCTAGAATGTCCTGCTATACCAGACCATCATCCCTTCGTTTGCCTGATTTCAGGGATTCAGAAATCACCAGGGACGAAGCTGAGTAGGTATATAAAGGGGACACATGGGTAACTATGCACCAGCTTTTTATCAAACACTATAGAAATATTTCAATAAATTTACAGCTAATAGAGCCAAAGAGTGTGTACTTGCTCAACATCAGCCCTGATCCAACTAGAAGGAGGCCTCCATTTTCTGGAATCAATCAGGTTAGCTCTTTTATTTTGACTTTGACTCTCACTTACAGAAATCCAATGAGGAAACTGTCATAGTATAATTGGAATTGGAAGAACTGATTTCTAGAAGATATCCAGAGAATATAGTCTTAGCTTTTCCTCATTGGCACCTCTCAGCTCATACCATGTAAGTAGATGTCTTGTCCATCAGACTGAAACCCTGATTCTTGTCTATCATTATCTACTCTACCCGCAAGACCTTTATAATTGCAGCATCTTCCCTATATTCTGACTTATAAAACTTTCAGTTTCTTTCTACTCTCTTTTTCTACAATTTCTTCATTCTATCCACCCTCTCGTTTGTTGGACTCTCTTTTTACCATTATGGGTTAGTGGTAAATATTTAGTACTGCTCACCCAAGGTCTACTGAGTAGAAATTGGATAGAATCCCCTTATAAAAACATCTTTTTCTTGGCTAAATTTGTTCCTTAAATTCAATCCAAATTCACTAAGCTTAGAAGAAAAAATGTATACTCTAAAAAGAATGAACTGATCAGAAGACTATTGACATTGAAAAATATACATTTGGAAAGAAAAAAAATAAATGATTACATTTTGGGGAAATGGGCACCTGGCATTTGTTCTATAAGATTTCCTAGATCTCATCACCTAGTTCCAAAAGTCAGATTAATTATTTATGACAGTGTAGGTTGTAATGTCAATAACAAAAATGTTATCTGAGAAATATGATAGGAAACTAAAATACTTCTCACATTTTAGAAAATGGGAGAAAAGCAATTAAAATGAATGTTTGCAAACAAGCATGATCTTCTTTTGTTGACAAGAATAAGACACTTCAGGACCCATTCGATTATTTTTCATGCTTGAGTCATTTTAATGCTAATTATATTTAGTTTGGCTTATGTTTTGTCTCAGTTCCTGCTAGCCTGCAAGAATGACATAGCAATAATTAATGTGGCTTACTCTAACCCTTGTAAATTCAATAAAACTGTATAAATCATTTTCCATTATCCAGCTCGAAGTACAAAGAGTAGATTTGCCAATAATTTTGAAAGCATATTATCAAAAATCTATATAAAAAGAGCTCATAAAGCATGTCAAAACATGATTCTAATCAGAGTGGAGTTTTTATACTACTTTATATTATTTATCAAAGACCTAACCCAGAGTCTAAGTAGTAATAGAAACACATTATTTGTGGAATTCACCAATCTTATATTTTAATCATTCAGTATTGATAATCATAAAAAGAGCTACAATTTATGTATTTATTGAATTCTCACTTTTTACAGGGCACAGTGTTATTTTTAATTTTATTAAATTCCATAATAGTGATATTACAAAAGACTTTTTCAGAAAAAGAAGAGTGAGATTTAAAAAACAGATTGAATACATAATTTGGGTTGACGAGTACAAATATATAAGAATCAAAGTTGGGAATCGCATTATGTCCATTTGACTATAAAAGCTATTCTACTTTCCTCCGTACTATGATGCCTATGATTTCAAAATACTTATTTTAAATTTTATTTTATAATCTCACAACTATTTACTCTTTTGTGTTAATATAAGCTTGGTAATCATGACTATGGCATGATAAACTATCCAACTACTAATGACAGATCTGGTAGGAATTTAGCTTCTCTCAGTAAATAATATATCCTTACATAT